AAGTTGAACAATAAATTACTTTGTCAATCAAAACAGTCAGAATTTCACATAAAGTTGATTGATATACCACATGAAACAGACTTGGTATGTTTTCAATCCTTATCAGTTGTACATAATATGAGTAGGGCCTAAGTAGCCGTAGTATAATAACAATCAATCGAGAGAAGCTAAAAACGATGTTTTTCAATGTAAATAGAGAAAAGCATGTGGATAACAACAACACATTATCGAATCACATGACAAGTCTGAAAAATACAAGCTGTATGTAAAAATCAACTGTAAAACAATTTATGTTAGCGTTTCATAATGAATGAGCACTTTCATCAGACGACTAGTAGTTACACTAATTGATTCTAGACAAATCAATATAAAATATTTAGAAACAAATAGACTTCGTGAAAAAAAAAACTTCGTCTGAAAAATTAGGTTAGTGTAGATAAAGAAAAGAAATTATGAGAATTTACATTGCAAGGAAAAACAGAGAGAAAAGTGAACTTCCAATCGAAACAGTTATGATGCTATGCTTAGGGATAATCTCGTAAACAAGTGCACCGGTTCAAGTTACCACACTTCACAGTTGTAATGTAGTGCACCTTCTTGGCACCAAAATACAACTAGGGCTAAAATAAATAGATTAATTTAAAGTAATTAAATAAACCTTTAACTCGCCTCCAGATGCTTTACGCGTTTTAAGTTTTGCTTTAACGAACGTGCACCCAAGCAGGCTTCAGTGCCATTTCGCGCTTCCTTTGTGCCGGTTAGCATGCACGTACTCAGAGTCCCTAGTTCAGCCATACTAGTCAGGTAAGTTGAATAAACTTTTCCTCTATTCATTACTATTACATTGAGTCTAAATAAACATATTACTTCTTCGAATATATTCCTGAAACAAGTTCTTTTGATTTGTCTTTCGTTACCAGTACTTACATGCTAGGTAAGGTACTGGTTAAGCAGGTGCTAGAGCACATACAGTTAAGTAGGGTTGGTCAAACATTACGGAACTGTATCACACACACACACACACACACCCCTACAAGTATACAAAGAACAGGTGGATAGGAAAGGAGTGATATTATAGTGGGCGTTGCTAGTAAGAATTGATGTAAGTAGTATATGTTGAGAAGGCAGCAGGAATCATAGGGAACTACCGCCAATGGGTAAAGATACTGCCAAGAGAAACGTAAGAGACGCAGGCGTATGAACAGTAAATCAAGAGGCAGAAGAGGAACTGAAGCATATTTTTCTAAATGGTTGTCTGAATGCAAATTGTACAATTGTACGACTACTGTACCACTTGGAGATCTTCTGCACTCAGCATGCGGAACAAGATACGGATTTTCAACACCAACGTCAAGTCAGTGCTTCTATATGGTTCAGAGACTTGGCGCGTTACGAAAGGGATTTCCAATAAACTACAGATATTCATCAACAAGTGCTTACGCTGACTCGATACTGAAGATCAGATGGCCAGAATAATAAGAATAAGCAACAAGGAGCTCTGTAAACGAACCAACCAAGAACAAATCACCCAACAAATATGCATTGCAAGGAAGTGGAGATGGATTGGGCATACACTGAGAAAGCCGACTGGGGACATCACGCGTCAGGCCAAGCCCTCGAGTGGAATCCCCATGGGAAGCGACGAGTTGGGCGTTGGTGACATGGAGGAGATCGTGTGAGGAGGAAATGAGAGCTTCTGGGTTGTCGTGGAGCCAGGTTCAAAAGATTTCAGAGAACAGAGTTCACTGGAGACGTGCTACTGAAGCCCTATGTCCCATTAGGAACCCAAGGGACTAATAATAATAATAATAATAATAATAATAATAATAATAATAATAATAATAATATGCTGTACCACTTGTTAACAATAAACATTCCTTTCTTGGTATCTGTCTTCTCGTTTCTCTTCAATATCATCAAAGTAGAGAAAGTTGTATGACAGGACAAACAATTTGACGATAACGGTTAATGTGAATATTCAAGCAGCTTTAGAAGATGTTAACGAGGTGAATATATCTGCGGCATTTTGGTTGATTTTCAGACATACCATATCGTTTCAGGGATCCCGGCCAGGTGCTTCATATAGCTCAAACCAACGGTCAGATACTTCATTGATTGATACCTCAACTTGATCTAGCCACCCTAAACCGTCATCCAACGTAATCTAACTCCTGCTAGGATTGCTTGTAAAGGTGGGTGAAGGATCAACATCGGTAACACATGTCCAAGCCACCTAAGTCGATGAAAGTTGACAACCTCATTAGTCAGCTTGCCTAGTACCCTTCGCCTGACTTCTGTATTACTCACACAATGGTTCTACAAAACGCAAGCAATGCTATGAAGACAACTGTGTTCAAAAACGTTTACTCGCTTCATATCTTCCACTCCCAACACCCATAACGGAATGCAGCGTAATAACCTCATCCTTTAATACGTTGTCGGATATCTTGGAGAGAAGTTGGCGAAAGTTAAATAGGCTTTCTGTATCCCAGCTGAGATTTCATCACCAACCTATCTTATGAAGAAACCATGAAATGAAACAAATCCGACCTGAAACACGCATGTCTACTGAAGTCTAACAGTAACAACATGAACTGCACGTATCATGGCATAGCAAAGCGATAAAGAATTATTTCCTATATTCTATAAAATATCATTACCTTAATAAGACATTTCTCAGATTTAATTAATCATATTTAAGAGTTGATAGACAGCTGTTAGCGAAAAGTACCGTCTAATTATAGACACATGGACGCAGAAAAACCTTCTGGTACCATCACAATCCATTTAGTGGTGCACATATTCAAAATGAGCCAAGGGGTCTGACAACAAATTCCCCTTTCAACTTCGAAGTGAACGCTTCCAGGTTTGATTACAAACTAAGTATGTTTGTACTGTTTAAAAGCTTTAGACTGGGACAGGAAAACTTATTGAAACGTTCTAAGTCAGTGTGATAACATCGATTCACGAAGTCTCTGACTACTAACTGGATCAGTATACATTGTTTTTTTTTGGAATCTTCGTGATGGTTGCAGTGAATGGCTTGAGACTTCTAGTAATATAGCTTAAAACCAATCACAGACGTATACGCTTCTCATCACCTCCAGAATCTAAAGCACTTTTACCAAACTTTACTTATTCATTGTTTTGATACTATAGCTTGTAAGCGGTTATCGTGAGGTTGACGAAATCGGCGTCCTGGATTTCACTGCTAATCACTATCCATAGTTAACTTCACTCTTTCTATTGACTGGCTTTTTGTATGCCTTCTTGAATTCCTGAAACTTTGGTGAGTACACTTTTGTCCACCACGCTCTATACTAATTTTTCGATTTCCAAAGTGCTCATAGACCCTTTTTAAGCTGTATCAAATCACTGAGAATGACTTATCAATCTGATAGAGTGAAACCCCAAGGATTACTCCATAATCGGTATACAGTTTCTTCAGAGACTCCTGACACATGAGTTAGTAAAAGTGAGCTCGTTTTAATCTTTTTTTTTCTCAAATTTTCATTTTTTTTTGTCGAAAATTTTTTCGAAATAACGATGATGATAATAATAATAAAGATACTAATGTACAAGAGATTATAATGAACAAACCTTTAATCCAACTTATGCATATTATTATGTATAAGAAATATCCGAGTACACTTATGATCAATAAAGCAGTCATACAACAATAAGTGCTGTGTACGTGTTTTCTGTGCTATAGGCAACCAATCAAATTCTCCCTTTGTCAACATTCAACTAAATTGTTCTATTGAAGATTGATTTTGTTTTCATTTTATCCATGATTAATGACCAGTAATCAATATTCACGGTCTTTGGTTAACCTTACCCCCCCCCCACAAACACACATTGTCCAACATAAAAACAAATACAAATCCCAATTGGCTTACATACATAAATAAAAACATGAGACTGGAACAGTTGAAAGATTTGGAGAGAAACACATTAACAAACACGCACGCACACACACACACACACACATGAATACAAGCAAACAGACTGAAGACAAAACAACAATACAAAACAAGATATGAAACAAAGAAAATAAACAAGTCTGAAACCAAGACAACAACCACGACGATGATAACAATAATACTCGGTAGGATGAATAACAGGCGAACAAGACTGGCTGAGAGAGAGACAAAGAAAAAGATAGAAAGAAAGATAACCCATTTATTTCTATAAACAAAATAAAAGAAGGGAGAAAAAGCCAAGCGATTTCAATGAACACGAGAAAAACAGTGTTAGAGTCAAGATCCTTCACAATACAATGGTATAACAGTTTGTGGATATAAGCTTACTTATGCCTATATTGAAGAGAGTTAACAAAACTCAATAACTGGGACTTGATTTTGTCAAGAGGAGAAATGAATCAAAGATGAAATATATGCCTACTACCACCGTTCTCATATTGTTATTCTCACCTTTATACTACAATTCACATAGTGTATGAATGTATGCGTGTGTAGATGAATGCATATGTCAGGAAACTGTATAGTTTCTATATAATTTTTTTGGAGAAAAAAAAGTCAATAAACAGAACAAAAAAAGTGTAATCGTATGAGTCTTTCTTCGACTCCTGATATAAACGCATAGGTCAATGACCGGGATTTTTTATGAAAATTTGGCTCAGGATGATGAAGATAGCCAGAGTGTTGATGTCTTGTGCTAGACAGATACATAAATCATGAATGAACAATATAATGACAATGTCGAAGTTGAATGCAACAGTAATGATAAGAACAGAAAGACTGAACATATTTTCATTGTATTGTAGTAGTATGTCTTTGTTTTTTTAACTAAAGCGCTGTACATGCCTTCAACGAAAATATGTAACCCCTGTTGAAATCAGGAAATTTGTGTATTTAGGCTACACTTTACTGCTGCTCTGCTGCTAGGTAACCTGAGAAATTAGTTTGACAGGAAAAAAAAGTATTGGCAACTTGGTTAAAAAGACAAAAGAAAAAGGCAAAATAGATCACACACACACATTATATTATGCGACAACACCGACAATACCGACGTCGTCTTGCAAATGTCAGTGTAGGCGGGGTACCAGGGGCGAAATAAGCATGGATTTGAAGTTGAGGATAGTGTAGCTGGGAAATTGACAGGAAAGAAAAAAATGATTAGTCTCTTCAAAGTTAAAACCATGGTTCAATTTACGAAATACAAAGAGATATATTAATGATGGATCGTGGCTAGCAGTGGAATCCAGGATGCGCGTTTCGTTCTATTTGGGACTCATTCGTCAGCTGGATGTACCTGTCTCCCAGTGAGTGATGTTGATCCCACCGGAAGCAGATACATCCAGCTGACGAGTCCCGAATAGGACGAAATACGTATCCTGGATTCTACTGCTAGCCACGATCCATCATTAATATAATTACAACGCAGGCAATATCGAGGCATTAACACAGGAGCCGATATGTCAATAGAGACCGATCAATTCGGTCCAAGCAACGACGGTATCATATAAAAACAATTATACAAAGAGATATATTCAACACGTCTATCATACAGATGATGAGATAGATTCCAAAATGATTCACCTTTACATTCAATCTTCAACTAATCTTAAAACAATTCGGTGAAGATCAAATAACTAATACTGTTTAGTAGATTTCGCAGGATTAGCTATTTCTCGTTAGAACCACATAGGCTAACAACAATTGGGTACCAATAGGCACGCCATGTTCACTTCACGGATGTAACTGTGGAACGTTTTTTGATATTGCCTAGGTGAAAAAGCCAAAATAGATGGCTATCCTAATGGATCTTTCAAAATATTTGACTTGATTTGGAATCCACATAAAAATGGAATGATAATAAGAATTTCTTTTGTGTCATATTCAATGATCAGAAGTTCATAAACGATGATCGTAATTAGAATTCTGCATTCAATCTATAACACTGTTCTGAAAGTAATGTATTTTTATTCTTCAAAAAGCATCGCTCATATCTAGCGACTATTCGCGGACATTGACCACTTCCCTTCAGTTAAAACACCACACCAAATCGGCAGTGAAAAATTGTTGTCTCATCAACCAGTGAGTCATAGGTTCGAACCCCACACTGTTTAACGAGGTTTTAGCAGTGTCATTAGCCTTCTCTCTCATAGTCGGTGTGGCTTATTGCCTGCTACACGGACGTGCACCCAATCGTTGAGTTGCTTTTTGATTTACTTATGATTGAGTGGATGGTTACGAGGTGACCATGAGGTAGTGAGTTCGATTAGTAATGGGTCGTCAGTGCACACTGATAAGTTCAAATCTTAAAAACAACTGCCAATTTTTTGTAAGCTTCTAGTGACTTTGCAACTGACTGACTGAAAAAATCAACGTAGAACCTTGTACACAAGAGCATCGATTCAAGTTACCACACCTCGTAGTAGTACATAAACAGCAGACGGATAGGAAAAGGAGTGATATCATAGTAGATAAGGTTGTGCGAGAGGATAAACAATTTGAAGATAACGGTTAGCATGAATATTCACGGAATGAATACATTTGCGCCATTGTGACCAATTTTCAGCCATGTCACCAACAGTCTTCAACCACTGATTCCCTTTGTCTCTGGGACTACAAGCACGTAGTCTACATCTCCTCCACACGGCTCAGACCAACAGTTACGGATCCTGAACCCTTTACCAACTTAATCCAACTTTTCCCCTGTCATGACATATGGAGGTAGGTGAGAACTCGGCATGCTCAGAACAGGTCCAAGCCATCACAATCTCGTCAATCAACTTGCCTCTGTTGCATAGTACCTTTCGACTGACTTCAACATTCCTCACACGATGATCCCACCATACCTGACCAATATTACAAAGACAACTACAATCAAAATCTTTACAACTGATACCAATCACTAATGAAAACTGATTTCATATCAACTTATGAGATAGTTCACTTTACGCATGTATAAACAAAGAAAATTTTCACAATGGTTGTGGTTCAAAGTCTACTAGTCAGAATACATTTACTTTTTTTAAAGAAAAATACTTTAAATCATTTTATCATACATTTTCTGAGGATTTTTTTCATATGGGAAGTGATAAATGAAGGTTGGGCAGGACAAGTGAACGCTCTACAGCCATGAGTTCATAAACCTATATGAATAAATGCCTAGAAGCTGGCGGTCTACTTAAACCTTAAGCTATCGAGAAAAAAAATCTTCAACCAAATACATTTTATCAAGTTCTTTCCTTTCAATTTCTTTAAATCTACTCAATATATCTGCTGCTAAACGTAAACATGTTTAAAATGTTTTCAAATTAAAAATAAACCAAATAACAAAAGTCACATTGGATGGAGATGGGGTTATAAATATGCATAAAAATACAGTAAATAACCCAAGTCGATGGTCTTGGTTGTATTGCGTTCTCTGAGCTGGATTGTTTAATCGTGAAGCATTCATCGTCTTTCTACACGACGTCTTCAGTATGAAGTGATCTGTCAATATCTCTCTCTGAGTAGTATTTCAGTAGCTTGCCTTGACGAAGTGGTCTGTGATTAGTTGTTTCCTTCAATTGTTATGTCATTGACTACTGTATAGATTTCCCAGTTGGCTTTTCCTCCACCTGACTTCTGACGTTCCTGTCATTTATCATTTTCCTCATTGGTTGATAGATTGGATCTATGTCTACACATCTATTGATTGCTGACTGACTGACTGACTAACTTGAATGTCAAGCTTCTAGGAATTCTCTGGTATTCTTTGTTTCCTCTGTCTAAAGTTTCTACATTATCAAAATTCAGTTGATGTCCATAATCATCCACGTGTTGAAGATGTCGTCTAGAAAGACGATGAAAGCTTCACGGTTAAACAACCTAGCTCAGAGAACACAATGCAACCAAGACAGTACATTAACATTTATAGGATACCGATATCGAATTGCAGATTTTTGTATGGGCTGACTGAACTACCACCCGAAAAATTACACTCCATTTTATATTCATCTTCAAGTTCAGGCAGGGCGCTGATATAGCACTAGCTACTCGTTTCACATTAGTGCCTTTGATATCGTAATTATTAACCATTATTTTGTTTAAAAAATTTTTACGGGGAGTGAATTTTTGGGAATGTTATATGCTCAGAATTCTATACTATAATCACAGATGTAATTTGGAATAAAGCTGCTATTATTATCATTATTATTTCCAGGTCATAAACATTTAGCTTCTTACTATGCCTTTTGAGTTGGGCGTCCGACGGTGACGTGGAGGAGATCATGTGAAGAAGAAATGAAAGCTTCTGGGCAGTCGTAGTGCCAAGTTCAAATGACTGCAGAGAACAGAGTGGAATGGAGATGTGCTACTGAAACCCTATGTTCCACTAGGAACCCAAGGGACAAATAATAATAATAATTACTGTGCCTTTTGAATACTTTTTAACATTAGTAAACATTTTGATCATTTGAACTTCTGGATGGCTAATGCTTCAGCTATAGACAAATGCCTTGATCTAACTCCCATCGAATGGTTTGATCGAACTCTGTAGAGGATTTTTAATAAGCTTTCAAAAAGTTAACTGGCTTGAGTTCATGAGGTGTTCTGTTATTTACGTTCTCCCTTTGTCAGTCAGGTTAGATAGTGTTAGTGGGCGCGTTTTACTAGCCGGTGCATGGTACAGACAACACAGAAAGGTTCTACTGGGCTAATAGAGCTGCGGTTGTCGAAGATACTGAAGAAAATGATAGATGAATTATTCATTAGTAAAGAGCTATGTGAACAACTTCGCCCATCGGGTTCTATAATCTCCCATTTATACGGTCTTTCCAAAATACACAAAGAAGGTATTCCACTCCGTCCATTACTAGATATGATAAATTCTCCATGTCATTTGATCGCGAAATGCCTTGTGGAAATACTTGAATCTGTAAAGAAAAGGTTATTGAACTACAGTATCCGTGATACATTTGATTTCGGTGATTCAATATAGAATGTCAATTTGACAGGTAAAAGAATGATTTCATTGGATGTCGTGTCCCTCTTCACACATCTCCCACTGACAGAAATTATCTGCTTCCGATATGAATTCATTCAATATCATAACATAGATGTTGTTATTTCAATTCACTACCTAGAAGAGCATCTCTTTCGATATACCTTCAATATACACTTCAGATTTAATAATGATATCTACAGGCAGATATAGACGGCGTGACAATGGGTTCTCCACTAGGACCTTTCCTAGCTGACTGCTTCATCCTGAACCTGCAAAACACCAACTTATCATCAACAATCAATAAACTTCACGTCTACAAAAGATAAATGGATGATACGTTTATACGTTGAGGTGAAAATATGAATTTTGCAAACCTGCTTCATACTTTCAACAACACCCATCCTTCAGAATCAAACTCAACGTTCCCTTTTCTTGATATTCAACTCCAAAGAAAAGATGATAATTCACTTCGTAGATGAATCTACAGAAAACCTATATGGAACGGATAGTTCATTAATTTCCAAAGTTCTAGTCCCTCTACGCAGAAAGAAAATTCTTATTCATTCACTATCCTTAAGGATCAGGAAAATATATATTGAGGACACTATTGACGGAGAACTTCAAATACTTCGACGAACTCTAGCAGAAAACGATTTCCCACTCAGATCCATAGATAAGAACATAAAACCAAAGAACTCGACCGTGAACGAATACACCTGGCGCGGAAAAAGATTCTTTTGTTAAGTCTTGAGTTCAAAAAGGATACAACTATTAAAATCCTTAAAAAGAACATACTTCGCCGCCAACCTTAGAATTATTTTCTCTTGCAAGAAACGTTTTGGTCAATGTGTGAAAGACAAACTGATACATTGAGTCACATCAATTTGTGTATACCACTTTACTAGCTCTTGTGGAGCTAACTAGCTAAGTACATTGACTGTATCATGCATCAGTTTGTAAAACGCGTCCATTAACACTATCTAACCTCATTGGTAAAGGGAGAACGAGAGTGTATCTTCAATTTAATAACAGAACACCTCATGAACTCAGGTCAGTTAACTTTCTTTGACAGCTTATTAAACATCCTCTACAAGATTAGATCAATCCACTCGAAGGGAGTTAGATCAAGGCATTTGTCTATACCTGAAGC